TTCTCACATAAGATATTTAGGATTGAAGAAAACAGGTTGGTTGATAGTGTGTTAGTCAAAAACATTTTTATATGCCATGCTGGGTTGAATCTTCATAGTTTGTTATTCACTATCTGTAATTCACCTATTCTTAATGAATCTCCCTGTATAGGTGATACAATGGTTGTGTTCTACAGTTAGTATAGGTAACGCAGACAATTAATTACTTTGAAGCTCGGAATAGTATATTATTAAACGAGCGGTAATGTAGGTCATAACTCACGCAGATGAAGTTTGCAGCACGAGCCACAGGCGAGTGCTGTAATATTCATCAAGTGAGTTATGACCATTACCGCAAGTTGAATACTATACTTTATCTACGACTATTACAATAAATCCTAAGTTATACAAGTACAGAGAAAGAACTTTATTGACAAACCTTGATATACTTAATACAAATTTTAGATTCAATCACTCGCATATTGTTTATTGAAAAAATTAACTGTGAAGTTAACAGTAAACTGAATATGTTGAAACTGAATTATGGAAGTTTATTGTTTCTTTTTGTGTTTGTTGCATATACAGTGAGGACGTAAAAAGTCCTCCCCCCCCCTTATCTTTTGAACGGAAGAAGCTATCGAGGTCGGGTAAAATTCAGGTAAAAAGGTACTACTTTTTCTACTATTTGGCATAAAAATGATTGTGGTCACGTGGCCTAGTGTCAAGAGGGTACCATCAACTTTTTTTTTTCAAATGTAAAAGATGGTCACGTGGCACCTGGTTTTGAAGGCCTTCCGATTCTCTATCCACCACCGCTGTGTTTGTGAAAATCGACAAAGCCGTTTCAAACTGACGAGGCATTTGAAAATTATAAAAACAAGCTTAAACCTATGAGAACTGTCAAAAGTATCGATATGATTAACGTCAATATTAGACTGGCATTGGAATGAAATGATATTTGGAGTCTCCAGCAAAATAAATAAGGTAAAAAAAATGGAACAAAATCCACATTTTAAAATACCAATAATATGCGCACCTGTCTTACCACAAAAAAATTACTCTTCGACCATAATCAGTGACGGAGTTGAAATTCTGCTGCAATTAATAGTTGAAATAATTTTTTTGTGAAATTTTTGAAGCAAATTTCAATAGCTTGTCAGTTTGAAACGGCTTGGTCGATTTTCACAAACACAGCGGTGTTGGATAGAGAATCGGAAGGCCTTCAAAACCAGGTGCCACGTGACCCCCTTTTACATTTGAAAAAAAAAAGTTGATGGTACCCTCTTGACACTAGGCCACGTGACCACAATTATTTTTATGCCAAAAAGTATTAAAAGTAGTACCTTTTTACCTGAATTTTACCCGACCTCGATAGCTTGTTCCGTTCAAAAGTTAAGGGGGGGGGAGGACTTTTTACGTCCTCACTGTATGTTGTTGGTGTACTAACTGATTGAGCTGTAATAGAACTGTATATTTTATTTGCAGTATCTGTCTTATTCTTTTCGGAATCATCAACGTACCCCTCAGCCACAGTAGTTGATCGCCAACCGCCATGGCGTTTCAGTGCCGTACGGCATCTATTAATAAAGTTGCCGACGAGCGGCGAAAACAATGCCCTGTATATAAATTACAGTCTGGTAATTTCAGAAATGTGGCAATGTCTTTCCCCATTGCTCAAAATTTATCAATGCCATTCTTTGTGAGTGATATTTTGCATATGGAAATTCAAATGATAATCCATCTTCACTATCTGAATTCATCAAAAAAATCACAATAATTGTATCAGCTCAGTTTGAAAACGTCAAAATTATTCAGTTGACATCACTCCCCTCAATAACAATAATGGACTGTTCCCTTTCGGCCAACTGGCTTGTACAGAAGTACTGAGCCATCTTGATTTTCGGTTCGTAAATAATTCCAAGAGCCTTTCTCGATGTAAGTATTATAGTGAGATATAGTAGCGAGAGTTATTATAACTCACGCTGTTTGTTTATAGATACTATTAACTGTACAAAGGCAGTTGAATCATTGATATATAATAGGAGTAGATAAAATCTATTTACAACTGAAACCCAGTTTCCCACTCTGTCCAATGGTCATTCGATTGAGGTGTGTGGGCAGAAATGTGATGAATTTTCGTTTGTTTGAGCAAAGAATCAACGAGGCGTTGATGGAACGTTGAAAATTGGAAAGGTCCGGAAACCTATCAAAATTTCCAATAGCACTCGTCCGTTTCCAATCACCTTTGCTGTTATGTTCTCGAATTGTATGTGTGCTTCGGAGCTCTTTAGTGATTATCATTTATAATAATCATTGGAGATTCTACATCCAGATGTGAATGTAGGATATATTTAGACATGAATAAGGAGAGCAATTTATCTTGTACACTAGCTGAATATGAATATGCAGGAATGGCAGGATCACGAATGCGTGTATTTAATTTGAATGTGTATCAAAATGAAATATCGTCGTAACATAATTATATTATGAAGGCATCGTTTCTATGACATGATATGATATAATACTTCCGAACACCATTTGAATACTGTATAATTCATTGGGCGACAAAATCGTTTAGCCAATACTGACGTCATAACTGTTTCTGTGTTGCCAGAAAACAGCAAGTGAATATTTATTGAGAAGGAATATTTGCAGGTATATTATGAAGATGAGAAAAAAATGGTGAGGTACATATATTGAGAAATTCATTGAGAATTCGCATTCTCTATCTGATTAAAATATGAATAATTATATATCGCAATATTTAACGGAACACAACTACTTTCCTGACTATATGCCACGACGAACATTGAATCATATCCATTGAACACATACAATGAGAATTTGAAATGAAATCTTCTGAAGTTGAAGAATTTGCATTCTCTTTCAGATAGAAATATTATAATATGTATTCCAATATTATAGGAATATTCAACAGGAAACAACTACTTTCCTGACTATGGAAATAGAAATCTCCTGAAATTGAGAATATATTCAGTTATTGGTATGAAAATTCTATACCTTACATGTTCGACTGATTAGGAACTGATATTTTCTATCATCGTCAGCTGAATGAATTTCTGAAAAACTGAGATATTGAGCTACGATCGACTTATTCCCAATTATGCTACTTTGAATCCCTAGGGATTTGAAATAAATGTATTCGGAATGAGAGCTAAATTTAAGACTGCATTATCAAAATGTGTATTGCAATTGTGTCTTTTCATCGAATATGCGCTCCACTTGACTTTTCCAATAAATATGCTATCAGTACCTTTTCTTCTGTACATTTTCCTATGTTCTGTTCTTTGCACCATTCGATAAAGTCAGATAACTAACTGTTTCTTGTATTGTTTTCCAGCTTTTCTTGGTAATAATTGGCCATCTGCTCCTTGAGCTGCCTTTTCGATTTGTTCCATCGAGATCAACGTATTTCAATCGGTGTAGCCTGTTTGACTGATATTTACTCATTTATGTTTTACTCAGGTACTTGTCATAACACACCAAGATTTTCAGTTGCCAATGACAATCATGATCTGGATCACCATAGTTACTGAGGTCGTTGATATGGTAACAATCAGTCCTTTCAATTTTTTTTCGTTATTTTTTCTTTAACGTTTTACTTGAAGTGCATTAAATAGTATATAGTATAATAGTATATACACCTCGAGACTAGAGTGTTTTCGAATCCCTCGACGAATAAACTTATTGTCTAGGGATTTGAGATACCACTTTATTCTCTAGGTGTATATTGTACTATTTATTAAACTGAATAATATGTGAGCGAGCAAATGTCATTCCTACTAAATGATACTTCGAGTATCTTGTGAGAAAATATTGATAAATGAATAACATTATAGTGAAACCAACTACCACTAGCTGCCACTAATGTTTTGTTTAACTAAAGTCGGTATTTTGTATTTTATTTAGCGTAATCTTATACAAGTATCTTTTCAATGACATTTCAGTGTGAAATTGTCTTATCGAATACAATTCTAGCTTCAAATGAAACCCGGGTTTTATTCTCAAACATGAATATTCAGATAATTCTCCCTTGTCTCCGACTCAGGAAAATTTTCAAAATTTTCGTATTCTCGTATAAATGAAATTTAAAATGTATAAGAGGAGTACACTTGTACAAACTCTAATTTTGATAAGTTTCAAGTTTCAAAAAATAAACAAGTGAATATTCCCTCATCGTTAAATCCAGCTGATGTGAACTGTCGTAATTATTTGATATCAAGTTCAATCAGTTTCGATAATATTCGGCATAACCAATCAAAATTCTGATCCATATAATATTTAAATCATAAGAAAACGAAAACACATGAGTTTAAGCTGTCTTCTCATTTCATCCATGGCAAAGTCGGATTATTGTTGGATTGAATCAATATTCTCTTCACCTTTTCTGTGATGAACATCATTGAATTCTTTCTCAGAAATGTTCATCATTCAATCCCTATTTCAGATGGCGAACGAAATATCAATTATACTAGGAAGCGGGAATACTACTTTATATAATATATGCAAGAAGCAATTTCATTTGAAATATTCATTGTAGCTATGGAAATATCTCAAATTAAATTCCATGGAAATCAGAAGACGAAGTAATTTGAAAAATTATCTCGTCATACAATTAGTCGAGGATCTCTACCTGAGACTACTGAGAGGAATAACAATCAAAACTAAACATCTTCAATATAATTTCAATAAAATGGAAGTCATTGCGCACGTCATTTAGATCAATGCCATTAATATAACTATTCAGTATTTTTTATCGATAATAAGAATCAACATGAAACGGTCCTTATTCGCTTGGAACATAAATGGAAATTCATTTTTTATAAAAGTTCTATCTCGAATATAGTGAGGATTTTACTGTGCTCCAGTTATAGTTTTCTGATAGGTTATATCAACTCGTTTATCTCCAGCTAGATAATTATCCATGGTTCATCGGACACCCTGTACATACATACATGAAATATCGTGAATAAGTCAAACCAAAATCTATTTTTTTGCAGGTACTGCGAAACCTTTTCATCTTTATTTCCACACGGATGGTGTTGAGGCTCCAAATGATATCGACAATAAAGGCTTCTGTCTAAATTATATCCAGCAACCATGTGCCAGTGCTCTCACTTAGAAACTCGAAAAAACTAGGCAAATAAGAGACTGTATACTAGAAACTTCATCAGTGAAGTTCTAATTCATCAACATTCAAACTTTTATGGAAATGACTGGCATCAAGAAATGTTGATAAGAGTATTAGAGGAACAGGAATAATTAGGAAAACTATAATAATAAGATTGAAACATTTATTTCAGAAAATACATTCCACACGTAACAAACCTATAGATGAAAATACCAACTTGTGTTCATATTATGTGCTAGATACATCGGTAAAATCCATAGTGTATTTTCATTTAGTGCCCTCAAAATGACAAAACATACTATAGGATTTTTAATTCCTTACCTATACTCTACAAAGCTTAACTATCAAATGCTATCAACTATCGACAAAAATGCATATTATTTATTTTTCTGAATGTTTCGATGCTTCTTTAGCTTTCATAAAATATGTTAGCATATCAATGGGTAGAGGGAACACTATAGTTGAATTCTTCTCAGCAGATATTGTATTCAATGTCTGTGCAATAAAATGTTCATATTATTAAGTAAATCTTATGTATCTAAGTGGGATTGTAGCCAAGCACATTAGTGATATTGTGAGAAGTCGAAGAAAAACATTGTGGCACTCTGAAAGCATTAGTATGATTATAGGATTAAGAAGCAATAGCAGATAGAAATACCTTAGCAATGTACAAACAACGTTAGCCTACACAAAAACCTTTTTACACTAAAACTGCACATGGAGACCAATTCCAGAATCCTTCTTTGTTCCAATGAACCATTATCAATTCAGATGAATGAATTGTTAGTGATCGAGATAATCAGATAACAAAGTCAATTTCAAAATTGTTCAACTTCCTAATAAAATGGATAGATTAATTCAGTGTGTCCTTGACTGAATTAGTCACTAATTTTATTGATTTTGTCCCTTTGCAGTTCTGTCATCCATCTGCAGTTCAAGATAACCACCATTTTTTGATATGATGAAAACCACAGTTCGAAAGCTAAGCCAAGTTATAATTCGTTGATGCTTCTGATTGTGAAGACAAGATCCTTTCATTGAATCAAATAGATCATTTTTTAATAACATATCATATACTATAAAGATCACACAAAGGTGAGTGACAACAAATAGATAAATCGTGATATGCGGGATATGCCTAATTGTATTGATTATATATGCAAGTGAATATAATATAATATATATACAGTGAGACTTTAACTTTAGAAATTCAATTCGTGCAATATCGTCAGAACTTTGGTATCTATAGGTTATCACAAAAAACATTGATTGCTTCATGTATTCATTATGTTGAAGACCAAAAAATTTGGCACTTTCCTCAAGTCAAGTGTTTACCTTATGATTTGCAAGTACATTACTTTAATGCCAATCACGAGCTTAGAATTTGGCACTATGTAATTGTAATCATTCGAGTTTTTATTGGTCCCGAACTAAAGTACCTATATTCCATAATGAATGAGAACGACTGTGCTGCGTAATATGGCACACAACATCTGATGATTATTTTTCTTAAATATAACTATCTGTAACTCACAAAGCATGCACTATCTAAACTCATGGAACAATAATTTATTTGTAAATATAATTCTTACATCCAGACTTATTTTGTTGGTGTAGGAATTCGGAATCCATTTCCTGAACCTAATTGTGTCTAAAGTAGTTCACCATCATGTCTATTGGAACTGGATAAATGATCGTTGAATTTTTTCCTGAACATATTTTCGTCACTGTCTGTACAAAACAAGAATAATTATCTTAGAAAAGATGTTATAAGAATGCCAATCAGGGTATCAGTAGTTTTAGAATAGAGAAGTTTTAATTCTGAAGAAAATTTTCAGTTGTTACAATTCTCCTCAATTAAACATCCAATTACATCCGTGACCTGACGTCAGCAAGAATCATATTCTTTTCGATAGTAATTCCACTAATATAATGAGTATAATTCGCTACGACTTTTGACCCTAATGACAGCAGTACTTGAAGAAAGTCTCCGTATATCTTTCCAAAACTATTGTGTCATTCAGGTCCTACTAGATTTTTTCTAATAGTTAATATCGAATATATATATATTTCTTCACTAAACTATGAAAATCTCATGCAATATAATATAAGCTGTAAGATTAAGTATCTACTAGACTATATATATGAATTCCAATATTGTTCGCAGACAAAAGCATATAAAGATGTATTTTGTAATAACCTATGATATATTATTGATGTAATATATAAAAATTCCGTATATTAAACACAATGAAAGTGAGAGCGTTGAGGGCTACAATCAGAGTGGAATGGGTAGTTTCGATACTTATTTTATAACACAGAATATTTGATGGCTGTTTGGATGATCATAAACCTGTTAACGTTTTCAAGAGTCATCTCTCAGTTATTGGGAAAAATAGACAAAAAGTGCACAGAAATAATGTAAGCTTATTCTCACTTTATCTGATGAAATCGAAACTATTTCTGTATTGTGAAATCTATACCAATTCAGTTTTCCAAAGCTGTTTTACATCTATTGATAAATATTCGAAGAAAGAAGTAAAATATACATATATCTCATCGATTGATGGATAAAGTATTATTCTGAAGTCTTCTTTGCATCCATTGCCTTCATGAAATATGAAAGTATGTCAATCGGTAGAGGGAATACAATAGTAGAATTCTTCTCGGTTGATATTGTGTTGAGAGTCTGTCAAATTAAAAAAGAATTAGAATCCATTCTTCATCGGAAAAATCTAAAGGTGCTGTTTTTATTAGTGAAGTAGATTTTGAATTTCTTAATGTATGAGGTGGTTCATATGTTTCTTTCTCAAGCACATCACGATGTTTGAATACATTATCAGAAAAAAATCACCACAAAATAGTTTCTTGGAAATATTAAAAAAATTATGAATAGTTGAAAACTCAAAATGTTCTATCTATCTCAGAGATTATTCTGCCTATCTGCAACTTGGCTGTATCTTCTGACTTTGAAAACACGAGTATAATATAGTTGTTTCACTAAGTTATTGAATTTGCTTTATATAGAGGGTGTTACAAATTCGTGGTTGAGCATAGGGATCTAATTAAGTTGCGCCATTTCATGGTCAACAGAATGCTGCTTTGTAATTAAATAAATTCCCATTATTTCCGGAGATATCCGCGAAAAAAGGAAAATATGCAGAATCGTTCTTATTTATTTCTCAGTTTATTTGAAGAGTTATTCCAAAATGAATGTCACTCCATCATTGCCACTTTTCTTGCTCTACAAAAGGGAATTATCAAATTGGAAATCCGACGTTTCTTCTTCGAAGGGCCATCATCAACTCTATTATTTTGCACATTTGAAGGTAACACCCCCGCCATTCCTTGCTTGCACAAGTATCTTGAAGACTTCTGAGGGTTGCTGGTATGGAGATACTCATCTTTGTATAACAAAGTGGTTCTGCTATCAATTCATCTTTGTCTAACACACTATTCAGTGCGAAGGACTTGATAATTAAATTGATCTCATTCAAAATGTATTATCAGTTATACGACGCCAACAATGATAATTAAACAACTATACTTCTATCAATAATATTTGAGATAGAAGAAAACAGGTCGGTTAATAGTGTGTTAGAAAAAGACCAATTGATAACAAAAAACACTGTGTTAGACAATGATGAGTTTCTCCATACCTTTCATCAACATAATTTTCACTGATGAAGTAAACATTTCATGAATTTTTTTGGTAGATCATAATATCATATTAAGTAGAACGAAAGCTATCCAAAAAGAAATACAAAATCCAGGTCCGAATTTGAAGAAAATAAAGTTGACGATGGATGTTCGAACAAGAAAAGTCGGATTTCTAATTTGACAATTCCATTTTGTAGAGGAGGGAAAGTGGCAATGATGAAGTGACATTCATTGTGAAATATGTCTTCAAATAAACTGAGAAAATAATAAGAAGACCTAAGCTGTATCTCTTATGATTACTGAGATCCCCATACTTAGCCACGAATTTGTAACACCCTGTATAGAGTGTAGAGAACAAACCGCTATGAAAATTTGAAATTTATTCATGGAATACAACATCTTCAACTTTCTATGCTATTTTATAACTGAAGGAAAAGTAACAAAACAGAGAAATTACACCAGAAAAGCATAATTGAAAACTTAAAACAGTTGATTTGAAATATTAATGAGTTCGTCACTCTGTATGAAAAAAACTCAATATGAGTTGAGGATAAATTATTGATATACTCGAATGAGGGAAACTATGCCATGAGCTTATTTTAACAAATATTTTTAGTTCAAAGTTAAATATAACTATCAATTATTCGAGTAAAAGTGTTTCCAACTCCTAAATTAATGCATTCATGAGAGGGGTGAACTCCCGAAGGTAAGTAAAACTTTCTCGCACTCCATTTGGCAACATGGTTATCTAAAACTTCCGTCCAACCCTTTTGGCTCGTTTGCCGTCTAATCTATATAGGTCTACACAATATACAGAGTGTCCCATAAACATACCGACAAACTTCAAGGGATGGTAGAGGACATCAAAATAAACATTCTTGCTCGATAAACATAGGTTCGGAAACACTTCGTTTTCAAGATACAAAAAATGAATAAAAGTCATTAATAATAATTAATGATTATTAAATAAAAGTAATTGAAAGTTTTATTAGTTTTTCAATATTTCAATAAACGCATTGGTAAAATGTAAGGTATAATTTTGGAACATTTAATTTTTTTTCATAGATGTAAGAGATATGGTTTTTTTTTCTTCAAAACGAAGGTAGATACGGAAAAATTCCAAGGGACCAAAAAGTTGCATTTCTAGTTGTTCGTTAAAAAAAATTATCATAATCACAAAAAATTTACTGAGCGATACTTTTTTTGCGCAAAAACTATCCGACATAGCCCGTGGGCACGCCCCTGAAATTATTGGGCAAATTCTAATAGCTCCAAAAGATACCTTATGAATGTATCAATAATCTGTGAGAATTTCATTGAATTCGACTAAATCGTTCTTACGATATTAATGAAAAATCGTTTTTTTTTTAAAATTTCAACACCCTGTATCTAGAAAACGAAGAGTTTCCAGACTTATGTTTATCGAGCAAAAATGTTTATTTTGATGTCCTCTACCATCCCTTGAAGTTTGTCGGTATGTTTATGGGACATTGAAATTAAATATTTGGAGATTGAATTTATATAATTCGATCGAGAAGAGTGGAGTTTATACATCAGCAGATGGAACAAAATGAGAAGTAAAATTAAAATAAAACGAGAAAGTTCAACATGGGCATTTCCATGGAACCGTTAATATGAAATAGAGACGACCAACTTCTATCAGCTTATTTTATTCTGTTTGGAAAATGATTCATGACTCAAATAATTTATATCATGTCTGCCAGTCAACTACTAACTGGCGGAAATTAGATGTATATACAGGCTGTAACATTAGTACGTTTAAACCCAGACAGCACTGGATATTCATAGAATATTCTCTAAATATGCTAAAAAGG